TATGACAGTTATGGGTATTATAATAAAACATCATTTAGTGTTAAATTTTTACCTAGAAGAATTTACAAATTTTTTCTAAAGAAAGAAGTTAACTTTTTAAATGGTCTGCAATAAACTGGAAGCATGGGATCTTACCAGTTCACTTTGAGATTAGTATTTTATGTGTCAGATGCTGATATGTACCATCTTTTTCTTGAGATTGGCAAACTCTCAGAAGGTTGAACAAATACTTACTTAAATATCTAATTTATAGTAATGGAAAATTTAACAAATCAATTTAATCTTTGATGGGACTAGTAGAAACTTATCCCAATTTGCTAACATTTTATCTAGCTAATTTGCACACCATTCCTCTATCCCTCTAGACAACCCCACCCCATATGCATAAAACTACCCCCTTGAAACTATAATAAACCCAGATCATGGGCTAATTCATAGGAGTGACATTAGTAATCCATTTGGAATCATGAAGCTAATTAATCCTTCATAGCTTTGTAACTTCAAAATTCTGACTCATTAGTACTGTTCTTCCCCATTTTTGCATTATTCTTACAGCCTCTTCCTCAACTTCACTTTCCCACCATTGTCATAATATATTCTTATAGGTGATAGTCTCTTCCCTTACTGTTGTCCCAGAAGCTTCTATTCAGTCCACAAGCACTTACTGGGCACACTTTGCTCTTACCTATTTTAACCTTACTACTAGCATGGCCCATTATACCTAGCAAAACCCATCTCCTGGCTTTCTCTGAAAATTAGCATTTTTCATATATCCCTGTACTTTCCTCAAAACCTTAATAACATCAGTTTTTCCCTGGTTCTCACATACATTATCTACTTCCAACCTATTTTTTCAGCCTCACTCATACCACTCCCATATATATGTGAAATGTATATGTATGGGAGCCCCATTTTGTATATATATTCTTGCCATTTCCCAAATTAGGGACGCATCCTATACTTTTTGCCTCCTGGCTCTATTAAGTTGATTCTTCCTAGATTTCCCTTTTACCCCCTGAACCTTTCTATCTTTTAATGTGTGGATTTTGAATTCAGAGAGTCTATAAACTAAGAAAATAAATGCAAATTTTGTAGGCGTTCTTACATACATTTTTTCCAAGTAGAGAGTTCACAGTTTTCATTACATCCTCAGAAGGGTTGACTACTACTCAAAAGTTAAAGACTACTACTTTATTTTCTTCCACCTTCCTGAACTATACTTGTATTTTTGTTACAAATGGTCTTGTTTGGTGCATTAGTCTGTTCTCATGCTGCTGATAAAGACATATCCGAGATTGGGTAATTTATAAAGAAAAACAGGTTTAATGGATTCACAGTTCCACATGTCTGGGGAGGCCTCACAATCATGGCAGAAGGCAAAAGGCACATCTTACATGGCAGCAGGCAAGAGAGAATGAAAGCCAGACAAAAGGGGAAACCCTAAAGACAGTAGACGGGCCCAGCTCAGTGGCTCACGCCTGTAATCCCAGCACTCTGGGAGGCCAAGGCGGGTGGATCACGAGGTCAAGAGATCGAGACCATCCTGGTCAACATGGTGAAACCCCGTCTCTACTAAAAATACAAAAAATTAGCTGGGCATGGTGGCGCATGCCTGTAATCCCAGCTGCTCAGGAGGCTGAGGCAGGAGAATTGCCTAAACCCAGGAGGCGGAGGTTGCAGTGAGCTGAGATCGCGCCATTGCACTCCAGCCTGGGTAACAAGAGCAAAACTCCGTCTCAAAAAAAAAAAAAAAATGCTGGTAGATCTCGTGAGACTTAATCACTACCACGAGAACAGTATAGGAGAAACCACCCCCATGATTTAATTACCCCCCACTGTGGGTCCCTCCCACAACATGTTAGAATTATGGGAGCTACAATTCAAGATGAGAATTGGGTGGGGACACAGACAAACCATATCATTGGGGTAATTATGCATGTATCCATATATATGATTGTATCCCTGTCTCCCTTACTGGAGCGTAATATCTGTTGGATTATGAAAAATTTTTGTAATCATGATCTTTTGCACATGACCTTATATAGGACAGGCACACAGTTGCTATGTACTTAAAAAAAAAAAAGGGCCGGGCGCGGTGGCTCAAGCCTGTAATCCCAGCACTGTGGGAGGCCGAGGCGGGTGGATCACGAGGTCAAGAGATCGAGACCATCCTGGTCAACATGGTGGAACCCCGTCTCTACTAAAAATACAAAAAAAAATTAGCTGGGCATGGTGGCGTGTGCCTGTAATCCCAGCTACTCAGGAGGCTGGGGCAGGAGAATTGCCTGAACCCGGGAGGCGGAGGTTGCGGTGAGCCGAGATCGCGCCATTGCACTCCAGCCTGGGTAACAAGAGCGAAACTCCGTCTCAAAAAAAAAAAAAAACCATCCTTTAAAAAATGTAATCAGGGCAATGATCCTTTCATGAGATTAGAATTCCCGTCAATGTATTTTTAAAATGATTATAATAAATAAATGTTAACTTTTTGTATGCTTCTTGAAAGTTCTTATCAGTGAGGTGGCAACTAAATGTCCCGGTTATCCCACTGGACTAATTAATAAGCCTCAAAAAATGAGTATTTGGAAGCCCATGGGTTTCCAAGTAGGCGCCAACATGCATGCTGAGGCTGGTGTCTTCCTTGTAGAAGAACTCAGTCTTTATTTCTTAGTTGTCCTGTCATTCCATGTTTCTTCCTTTGTGTTCCCTGGGCGCCACAAATTCAGCACAGGCCTAAGTCATTTAGGCAGAAGATTCCTAAAGCCAAAAGAAATAGCCCTTTTGTTATCTGTATTACAAAGTAACAACACAAAGAAGAACCAAAATTCTGAAGGTCCAAGGCATTCTAGAATGTCAGTATGTCTATTCCTGGGGAATTCAGTTTCACCCACATATTTCCTTTCTCCTTTCCAAAGCTCTTAAACAAACTGGCCAGAAATGAGAAGGCCATTTCCTAAAAGCCTGGCCTTCTAGGGAATCATCTGGAAATCTAGGACCACCATAAAGTAACAACTTCAGTAACAGCAGCTGACCTTTTTTTTCCCCCGGAGAAAGAAGTGCTTGTTTACCCAACTGAAAGTGATTATTAACAAACCCAGAGCATGGACTTCTCCTTTAATGTTCCTCAGTAATTATATATCTGGTAATTTACCTTTCATTTAAAATTATAATATCAAAAGTTATGGATCATTTTATTTTTATTTAGTAGACTGAAATCTTACCTCAGATTCTCCGCACTCAAACTCTAAAGAAAATGTAGGTATGAGGGTTTTGAGCAAATTCTTCCTATAATTATAGTCACATGAATCCTTTCGCTTGTTTTCTGCTCTGTTTTCTCTTTGAAAACAAAGCACTTATGAATCATCTTTTAAGAGATATTATACCAAAGTCCATTATAGTTGCACAGCTTAACATTTTGCTAAAATGTTTGTTTATTCATTACATTTACATTACTCTTTCTGTAATGTACCTCTTTTCATTGGTGCAATATCACTATTTTCAAGTATAATGATAAACTGCATTAACATCCATTCTGGCAGAGAGAATGTTTTAGAAGCCAGTTTACTTAAATTTGTTATCTAAAAAATGTTAACAGTAGGATAAATTGTATTATATCTTCCTATGAATTAATTTAATATCTATTTTAAGAATTTTTTTTATGATCTCTTAACCTAACATACTCTTCTCTGTATTATGTTTTATTAACTCCAGGGAAGATTTAGCAACATGGGAAAATAATGTAAAATGAAATTAAAGCTATTCCCCAGTTATTTAGAAATAAATTAGATTTAATGTTGATACAATTGATACTGAATGTTCTCTGTATCAAGTGTTTTATAAAGAAATTGGAAACTTGGTAGAAAATTAAGACTTTGCTATGGATATTACAGTATTATTTTTCTTTGGGAGGGGGCAGTATGTTAAAATTTCAAGGCATTGGTTTCCATAGCCAAAGTATAAGAAAGTTAACTATGTTTTAAAGCTTTAAATATTTTTATAACAGCTTATACTGAATTGTTGATATAATCAGACTGTTAAAATAATTAAGTCAATTTTCTCTCTTAAATTGCATGGTGTGATTTTTTTCTTTTGATTTTAGCTAATATTGATGATATAGCTCAGTATCCAAATGCAGGGTGTTCAGTACCTGTTTTTAATGGAACATGCAGTACTACCAGGAGCTGAAAGATAGATAACTTTATCTATCCTCTTATATATGAGGTTATTAAGAATGTATCACATTTATCAGTAACACCTGGTACTTAATTAATAATTGCTCATGGTATACTGAGATTGCACGGAATAAAGCTGTTTCTGTGGCTGTCCCTTCTCTTTGTTGGCTCTGAATTATTTTCTCTTCTACATTCCATTTCTGCTATCATTTCTAATACTTCTGCCTTACCACCACATCCTAAAATATAATGTAGGGACCATCATTACCTCTTCATGTTTGTTCATACTGATGACCCCCCAATTTCCAAATTTTAATACAGGATTAATGGAGAGATGTATAGATTTAGTAACTTTTGTACATTAATGAAAGAATCTTTGTTCATTTGCATTAAACTGTTAATGCATATTAAACTCAGAATCTGCAGTATGATTTTCCTTTCATGACAGAATAGAACTAATATTAAATACTGTTTAGGTGGGAGCCTATTTAGAAAGAGAATGGTTACTATCCCACACTCTTAACTATGAAAGTCAAGAATGTTTCTTCATAAGGAGAAGAATCCACTGGGGTTCCTGCTCCTCAGGTCTCCATTCTGATTATAATTATGGAATGTTCAAAAAATGTTTACTTTGTGAATGGGCTTATTGTTAGTGTGCATATTTTTATTCTCTGGAGGGTGGGGAAGAATGGGGGGAAACACATTGATAGCTGTTCATTAGCAACCATTGAAGAAGAAATTGAACTTTAAAGAATCTATCAGAAATTTCTCTGGTCAGCCTTTTATTACTATCTTGTCTTGAGCCCTTTTTTTAATGACATCTATTATCAGATTGAAATGGCGATTGAGACGCTGCAAAAGTCTGACGGTCTGTCCACTCACAGAAGCTCTCTTCTCAACAGCCATGTAAGTTGCCTCTTCTTCGTGTACACTAATCTCTTGCTTGTTCTGCATGTGTTGCTTGCCTCTAAATGCTTGTTTTATTTATTATTTATTTTGCTTCTTAACCTTCCTTTCTCAGCCCCTTATGATCTCTGTGTCATTTAATGGGTAATTTGTACAGTGAAATATCCAAAAAATAGTTTCCAGTATATTGCTTTATTAGGTTTCTGTACTCTTTGGGTACAGATATAATATTTTCAAGTTAGTAACAAGTTGCTGTGTATTTGTAAAAAGTAATCAATAATAATTTTCAGTATTTATAATGTTTTAGTTTGATATTTATTTACTATGAAGCAAATACTTATAATCTGCATCTCTGTCCAACAGTAGTGTCTACTTGCCTGACCAGTAATATTCTTTAAGTAGAAAAAAGATTATTAATGTCAAATCCAATGATAAACTGTTTGAAATTATTTGTTTGCCAGTAAGACTGTGTAAGGTGGTCAGTAAACAGCCCCATAGTTGAACTCAGGTCCTAAGACCTTAAGAGAAGTGAGAAGTGAACCAAAAGAAAAAGTGAGACTGTCGACAACTCATACATTGCTAATAATTGAGATTAAACAGAATTACCGTTACTATTTCCTGAAGCTGTTCCCTGTTGTCAGATGCAGATATCACTGTGACACTGGTAAGTGTAAGAAGGGTGATGATAGTTTTGTGAAATTATAAACATTTTTACCTACTGTTCACATTTGGGAAACCAGTGAAAATGCTAATTAAAAATTTGTTTTGTTAAGATGATTTCTAAATATATGGAAAAAAGTAAATAGACCCATGATTTAAATTCTTTTTAGATAGATCGTCTGCTGCCTTAAAATTAGTGACATTTTAGTAAGAATTAGACTTTTCTCCCACAACTGACAATTTGTTCTTAAATTTAAGGATAAAGTATTATGACATCTTTTTCATATTTTATAACTGAAAAGCTCAAAATTAGATCACCCAAATGAAAGTTTTTTAATAAACCTAAAACTTTTACTTGTAAAAAATGTTTTCACTGTGCTTTTAATAATGTTTTAATTTTTATATCCCAAAATATTGTTAAATACCTCCTCATGTTCTTACACATTTGTTTTTAGATGGGGTATTTTGTCTTGTTTCTTTTTCAAAGGAAAGTATCATGGAAAACAAAACCAGGTTACCCAACTTGGAGAATGCCTATAATTTTGGTGAAAAATTATATATATAAGCTTAAAGATAATAGTATATATTCTGGCCCTTTCTTTTGAAACAATTTAAGAAATATACATTTTTTTCTTTCTGAAAATTGGTATTTAGTATGTCACTCTTTTATGTTTCAGACGTATATTCCTGCTATGTTGGTATGAGTCTGTGGTTGTATCAAAGGCTGATTTCCTGTATACTACTAGGCTGTGTGTGTAGGAGGGGTGATGATCAACTGACATTTATGCTTTGGAAATAGCAAGTGAAATTGTTCTCCCTTTTAGTCAGAAATGTGCATGGACATAGAAAAAAAATGAAGCTTCTAGTTACCCTTTTCAGCTTTCAGCCTTCCACGTTGTGCTTTGATACTCAGAGTTCATTTTTACTTGACATGTATACTTTAATAAAATATATGTTTAATTTTAAATTTAACTTCAGTTATTCATCTTAATATTTTTATGAACAATAATGGAGGTATAAGAACACATTTTTTATATATTTTAAAAATGTATTTGTTGATTTGTTTGAAGCTTTTCAACTATGTCGGAATTCTTTAAAAATTAGTTTTCTCTATAGAATTCATCAAGGAAGGCAATTAGCAAATATTTATTGCAAAATACAGTTGCAAGAGAGTAAGGATTTTTGTATGTTTTATTCACCAAGGCATCCCTAGTGGCTAGAACAGGGCCTGGTACATAGTAGATACTCACTAAATATTTGCTGAATGAATAAAAAGAAACAATAGAAGGGGACAGGCCTTATGTCACCTTCATTATGTTGGAATTCTCTGATGCCTTTGCCAATCATGTACATTTATTTGGAGACTGATATATTCATTGTATTGTTTCCTTTGTTTTCAAGTTTGCTTCAAGTAGGTATATATTTGAACATTGTTGGGTGGTCTTTTTCTGGTATACCATCTGAGTAAAGAATATGTGGTCACGCTTATCATTTCTCTACAGGCAGCCTTCAGTTTAAGAGTAAATAACCGTTTTTCTCTCTAAACAATCTAATCTTTTAAAACGTCCTGGGCAAGAGTGACATTGTTTGTCTCTTTGTATTTTAGAATGGTACATTAGATTTGGCTTTACAGAATTCTGTTAGTCTAATAATTTTTTATTTAAATATTTTTGTTTCTAATTTTTTCGTATATGAAGATGCTATAGGTTTGTGATGGATAGTCTGCCTAAATCAAGTTAGAATATCTAATCCTTTTCATTGCAGACTTGTTTATTTTATACATTTTCTCAGTGTTAATGAATATAAATTAGTATTTTATGGTTGTAATGTGTTCACTGTTTACAAACTGCTTATTTTAGATTGTAAATTTGAATTCAGAAATGTTGTTAATTGTCCCCAATAATCACATAAAATTTAAGGTTGTACATTTCTTTAAAATTCCATTTAAAGTTTATGAAAAGCTCTAACCATCTATTTTATGTACATACTTTTCACAATACAGCAAATAACTATTTCATGTTCTTTTCTGGTTGTAACTACCAAAATATATTCAGCTCAAAGCAAAACCTTGTTTTTTACTCACTTTTCCTTGACTTTGCTGTATTGTAAATATAAGTTATTACAGAAATAAGACCTGTTAAAATGCATATCATTAGTAAACTGAACTTAAAATGAATCCTGATGGATAATAATCCATCTGGGAAAAAATTCCAAATGTTACATTTAGATGTTAATTGGCAGTGCAGTATTTATTTATTTTTATTTGTCAATCAGGATTTCCCTTTGGGAAAAATAGAAACCATTCATCTTTAATCTATCTTGATTAACACAGATTACATACAATGGTTGAAAGATGTAGTTATCTTGGTTTCCACGGATAAATGAGTGTATATTAGTTCATTATTAGAAAAATCAAGTTTTAAAGATAAAGGTTAAAAGTTCCTATGGTATTTTATAGACTTTGAAATCATAAAAGTTAACAAACATTTTACAAGACATTTTACGAAAAAGCAAAAGAAATAATAATAATTTATTTCTAAATTATTGGATGTTAAGATTGGGGAATACTAATGTCCAAATATATTGTATTAAAGACAAAACCCAAGGAAACAATATATAACAGGCATTAACTTCCTCTGGGTAGCTCATGGAACCTGTGCCTTTAGGTTGCACTTAAACTTATATGGAAACTTAACTGCCAAGTTTCTCTTGCAATCAGAGTAATGCTTTCTTATGCTGTGTTTTAGACTCAAATGTCTGATTTATAATTTCATCACTGTGTCAAAATGTAAAAGTTAAATACTGGCATATAGGATGGAGATTATAATCCCCAGCCACATCTCAAACTCTTATCTGGTGGGTCCTTTAAAATTAATTTATATTAATACAGTGAATTTCTAGGAGTTACAGCCTGAGATGGGGCAGTTGTTGGCATTCTTCCTAGCTGGGACCTGCAGGGCTACAGCAAAGCCCTATCTCCATCCTTTCAGGGCTTTTACCTCCACTTGACTTCCTTCTGCTGTCTCAATGAGCTCTCCAGGCTTCTGGCAAGGAATACTGTTCCTCCTTCTGCATATAAGGGGTAGGAAACAAAACATAGCTTTGCTGCTGTCAAAGTAATAGTCACCAAAATACCTGTTCTTGTACCATTTTAAAAACTAACCAGTGATTTATATAAATATACATGTATATGTATATATATAATAAACTAATTTTTAAAAACTAGTTTAGAAATAAAGAATTTAAACAGATTTTCTGCAGTTTAGGAATGTAAACTATATATGAAGAACAGTTTATAAAACAGTGCAAATTTTTTGACTTGCCTAACCATTTCAGAGGCCCGCATAGCCAATCCAGTAAAAATTTCACTTCCTGTAAATTATTCAGTTGGGATATAAGTAATATCATTTAGGCTTCTAAGTAGTTTGTGCCAGCATTTGCTATAATTATCTCACTATTTGTATGAAAAGTTTTCTTTATTAGGAGTGGTCTGATTAATATATGTGTACATTTATATATATATATATATATATATAAAATCAGTCCTTGATATCAAGAACCTATATGCCTAACATATATATATATATATATATATATATGTAGATGTGCCATTTGAGTCCAATGGTGTATTTACATATACAGATGTATGAATACACCATTGGACTCAAAATATTTTATGTTAAACTTTAATATTTATACTAGCTTTTCTTTTATAAAAGGTAATTTATCACAGTATTCAAATATTCTATTATTAGATTTTCTTTTTCAAATTTTATAGTAAAACTTTTAGCCTACAAGATAATTTCTATGATCATGAAAAATAAGCTCTCATTTGTATATATTTATCTTCATTTTTAAGTAATTAAATGTTGCAAGAAGACTAGTACACAAGTAGGGCAGTTTTAAAAATGTTTTATTTGTATCTGGTTAATTAAAATTATTTTCATTTGCTTTTATCAGATTAAAATTACATTAGCTCTGTTTTTATTATTTGTATACTTTTGGTTATAAAGTTCATATTATAAAATTGACTAATTCCATTTCTGGAAAAAAATGCCCTTTAAGATTTTTCTACGTAGTATGTCTTCTGTTCATTAGCAAAGGAAGCAATATTGATTTCTTGACTCAGAAGAAATCATAATATTATACCTTTGACAATATGCGTAATTTTATGAGGATACGTAGATATACATACAAACATATCTTCGGCATTTTTAACTTACACATAATCTGTGTTCCATGTTTGTGGATGTGGAACCTTCATTAGTTTAGTTGAAAAATACTACTGTTTTTCAAAAAGTATTTACATTTTTTATGTTTGCCTTTCCATCATTTTTTTCCTTGGTGTTTTCTTTATAGTCCTTGATATCAAGAACCTATATGCCTTTTTTTAATATATTAAGACTGCCAATAGAAGGTGGTCAACCCTTGCTCTGTCTACTATGTGTACACAAAACGAGAACCAGCACTGTTGTACAATACGGCTCACTAGGACTGCCATAACATTACTCAAGTGCTTCCTAATCAATCATTTTACCAAAGCATGTGAATGAAATATATGAATCAGGTTTTTATTGCTGCATTTTATATGTAGTCTCCCTCAGCTATACTCAAATCTTAAAATTTAAAAAAAGAAAACCCACTAAAGAGACATGCTTTCCCACTGTTATAGACAAAATACTAACTTGAACCTTAGTAACTTAATTTCGCCATCAGGCTGCCTTATCTCTTTTACACTAAATGAATATGTGTAGTAAACCTATTCTATGTGTCATTTAGAATACTCAGAAATCATGTTTAAGCACCTGTGGAAAACTTCTTTACTGACAATCAGGTTAGAGATGATTCATATCAAAAGAATTCTTTTGGCCTGTAATACTTTTATGTCATTGTAAAAATGAATGTTTATTTTGTGTCATCTTTTTAAACTTTTATAGGTCAGTCTTGAATATGTAAAGAGGTACTATGTATGTTTAAACGTTCATATTCATTTGCATATGTGCCCTGTAAAGTACTTCAAGTCTTTCTAATCAAACTCTGAATTTTATTTTTAAAAGTACTCTGGTTCATCTTGTAGCTTTGGTAGCTATATTTTCTAAGCCAACAGTCAATATGGGTTTAATGACATAAGTTTAATTACATAAACATCATGTAGGAATATTTGACATTAAAGTGGCTTTTGGAAATTCAGTTGTCATGACTAAAATCAATAATTCTGAAAATATTTTAATAAATTTTAAAATTAAAAGTCTGAAAATTCAGGTTCTAAGTTTGATTGCAATTCTTAAAATATGTTAAAAAGAATTGAGAATTTTTAAATTTATTTACATGTCCATATTATCATTTTTAGCATCTCATTGCAAATTTCTAGAGGACAGGTGTGAGATCACATTCATTTTTGCATCACTAGATGCCTGGCACATTACCTGGCTCATGGTTGGTGCTCAATAAATGAATTATTTGGCTTCTATAATTTATATTTAACTTGAATTGTATGTTAAATGTCAGTTCTTTATTATACCTGTCTTATATATGGCATGAAAATTTTGTTGAGACAAGTAATGTGAAATATTTATTGCTTTTTGCAAAACATTGGTCTGGAATAATCAGGAAATATGAATTGGAAACCAGACTCAGGCATTGATACAATATGTGACCCTGAGAAAGTCATTTAAGTCTATTTCAGTTCTCTTAATGAATAAATAAATGAACAAAAAATTTAATTTTGCTAATGTTGAAATTCAATAATATAGACCTGGATTCAATTTTCTGAAATTTTCTTGTACATTCAGTGCTTTAAATTTTTTTTTTAATGTACACAGGACAACATAAAACTCTAAAATGTGAATATAGACTGAAAAAGCATTGCATTACCAACTACCAAAATTATGAAGAAACACAGTTTTGAAGCAGAAAAATTCAAATGGTTGTAATAAATGTTTCCTTTTCATTGTGTATAAACTCTTTGCCAATGTCTAGTCAGTTTATTTTCATTTAGAGAAGAAATCGCTGAATTTTTTCCTTTTTGTTTTCAGAATCTGTCCTGGTAAACAGTGTGGTTATTATCTAGTGGTAATTTGAGATAAATAAAATTCTATAAAAATGAATATAACTTGAATATAAACACTCATACCAGGCAGCCTGCTGTTCATGTGTTAGAACAAGTCAACACTAAAGACATACTATGTACCATGGTGCCAGGCTTGGTAGCATGTTTTGCTCTGTAGTAGTTAAATTTCCAATACTTACGACCAGTTAATGGGATTATTTGAACTCCCTGAAGAGATGTCTGTTTCCAAAATTGCAATCAATACAGGGAGAATTAGTATGTCGCTACGTGTGCTTGAATATTTGAAGAAATGGATATTGTCTGAGATCCTTAGTGATGTTCAACTATTTACAATGTTTCTGAGTGTTTTCAAAGGCAGATTACCAGCCTCTGAATTGCAGCAGTTTACTCTGTCGTAAGACTTGATGAAGAACTCCTAAGAATTTCTGTATGTTGCATTTGCAGTGTCTTGTAGAAATTTTGGCAAATTATGTGATTTATCTGTGTTTACTGTGTCTTATTTCCCTAGCTCCAGTGGCTGTTGGACAATTATGAGACAGCAGAAGGAGTGAGCCTTCCCAGAAGCACTCTATACAACCACTACCTTCGACACTGTCAGGAACACAAACTGGACCCAGTCAATGCTGCCTCTTTTGGAAAATTAATAAGGTCAATTTTTATGGGGCTACGAACCAGGAGATTGGGCACTAGGTTAGTATTGAAAAATAATATCATAAACTGATCTCTCTTTTTCAAACTAGGGCAATTCAGTATTTTGTTTAAACAAAAGTACTTGATTACAGGGAATATATAAGGAAATACATAGAATGAGCTCAGTTTATAACATCCCCAGGAAAACGAAAGGACATTATGCAGTGACTGTTTCCAAGCCAGAATTATATGTTGTCTAAAACATTAACTGAGTGAAGCTTTGAGAAGAGCTGATTCTCAAACTACATAGAAATTAGCAGACCAACCTGTTAATGCTAGATTTGTATATGGTGCTTTAAACACACACATACACACACACACACACACACACACACACACACAACTGTATTCCTTTTTGAAAGAAATCATACTAATGATGATGAGTTAAGTTACATAGTCAATGAAAAACTATGTATCTCTTGACTCTTGCAAAATTTCATTTGTCTTTATAAATAACGCTGTTCGGATAGAGTAAGAAACTAAAAGTTTTTTATTTCATTTCTGGAGGCGAATTAAAAATCCTTTGGTAAACTTGCAAAATATTGTTTAAATTCCTCAGTGATATGTTAGTTCTATTTTACCTCTTATTAGCTCCCACTTTTTTTTCTGCTTTTAGTGTGAAACCATATGTGTGTGGAAGTAAAAAGATTGTATACTTCAGTTGAACTGAAATAATATGAAGAAAAAGCTTCTGGTTTTTCTTTCTTTGGAAATAAATATGAGTGTTTTCAGTAACCAAAATACGATGAAAAGAATACGTAGAACTGTGGAGCTTCATTTTTGTCTTTGCATATTTCTATAAATTATCATAAGTAGCTGGACAGAGGATATGAATGTTTTTAATTTCCTGAATCTTATAGAAATCATATAAAAAGTTAAAATAGAGACACTATACTATATAACATTAGGTGATATATCCTTAATTAGCTATAAAGCACAACTTCAGAGTATTCTAGTAAAAAGTTTCAATCTTAATAAAATAAACACAGCCTTAGTAATTGACTTTATTAAAAATATATACCAAAAAAAGGAGTAAGTGTTACAGGGGAGAAAAGATTGATCTTTTTCTCACTCATCACACAACTCATGACTAGGACCCCTATAACAAAAGATTAACAAGAGAAAAGCATATAATTTGTTTAATAAAAGTTTTACATGACAGGGAGCCTTCAGAAATGAAGACCCAAAGAAACAGAGAGAACTGTATGTATTTTATGCAGTCTGATGAAGTAGATAGTTCTGGAGAAACATGATTGGACAGAAAGGGGTATGATGTAATGGTTCTAATCTGAGGGAAAGTCAGCAAGGCCTGTTTTGTTTTTGTTTTTGTTTTGTTTTGTTTTGTTTGAGATGGAGTCTCGCTGTGTCACCCAGGTTGGAGTGCAGTGGCCCGATACTGGCTCACTGCAAACGCCACCTCCCAGATTCAAGCAATTCCCCTGCCTCAGCCTCCAAGTAGCCCGGATTATAGAAGCCCCCCCACCACACCCAGTGAATTTTTGTATTTTTAGTAGAGATGGGGTTTCACCATGTTGGCCAGACTGGTCTCAAACTCCTGACTTCAGGTGATCCGCCTGCCTTGGCCTCCCAAAGTACTGAGATTCCAGGTGTGAGCCACCACTCCCAGCCCAGCAGGGCCTGTTTGTTCAGATTTTTCTGCATCCCTGTGTCTTCAAAAATAGAAACATTTTTTTTCTACAAGGTATAGGAGGACCCCTCTGGAATGAGGGTCTCATGACCTGTTTCCAGGGGAAAGTAAGCTAGGTTTTATGGCCTGCTTCAGAGGAGAAGCAGTGAGGAGAATTTTTTTCTAGTTTCTGTGGCCCACTTCTGTTATTTCCTCAAATGCCAAGGTGCCATATTTTGGGGTAGCATGTCCTAAACCCTTCACTGTGTCAATTTTATGAGATTTACTAGGTCCATATTGTATTCAAAGCATGAATTATTGCTTTCCTGTTGCATTTTAAGTGATTATACATTTTACATTGTTGAAGGTTTAGCTCTTTCATAAATATATTTCCTTCTTTCTATACTTCAAAAGATAGTATATTTTAAAGTGAAGAATATGATTGTTATTCACACTAAAGGAATAGCTTTCATTCCCTTGAGAAAAGCTTTTTGTTTCTATAGTTTTTTTTTTTGTTTTTTTTTTCCCCAGAACCACAGAAATCATTATTTGGGGACCTAACCTACTATCTCCTAGCTGATGGCTCTGTAGTTACACTTGCCATGCCAATATTTTGAAACTCTGGGCTTTATTCAACATTCTAATAGCTGTATTGTTGTGCTTCTTTTGTTACTGAAAGGGACTTCAATGGGTCCTATTTTGAGGCTCCATTCAAACTTTGAAACACATCTTTAAAATAGAAAGGGACAAAATTGGGGTTGTTTGGTTTTCTGAATGCGTAGAATCTATACTCTGTAAGTACATATTGCAATACTGCAGCTTTTACTTTCTGATGTTCTGGGTTCCTCCCACTCCCCACTATGTAACAATTTATGTCTCCTATTTTTTTTAAATCGTGTGTAGTGTTTGCAATTAGGTTTGTGAGGCAAAGCCTAGAAAAATACGGAGAAAATAAGTACTGTGGAGAAAGTTTAAACAAATGAAGTGTCATGAAGATAGAATTCTAATGTAGAGAAACTGACAATGGTAGGAGTGAGGTACTAGACATTCTTTCTACCATAGAAACTGTTTAGCATTTACATTCTACTCCCAATCCAAGGAACAGAAGGAAAATTAAGATAAATCATGAGGCAAACTAAATCAAATACTCTTTTTAAAGAAAAGCGAACTATATGTAGAAGTGTTATTAATATTGTCCATTAATAAAATAATCTGGTGAAACCACTAAAACCAGAAACAGATCCTTTCTAAAGTGTTTGGACCTAAGTACACAAAAAGTAAATCAAATCACTGTTTTAAACAAAGGCAAATAAATAGGTACCTTTTGTTAGATCCCATCTCCAAATTAAGTTTGTGTAAAGAAGACCATGGAGGAAACTCAGCAAGGACTGTTTTGTTTTTGTTTCTCTCCCCCAACCATTCCCAGTGAAATAAAAAGAACCTCTCCCTCCCAACCCAACTAAAATGCTAATTTGTAGGGAACCAAAAAGAAACTAGGCACCCCATCTGTTTGAGGTATCAAGAGAGACATCATTTTCTTCTGTAGTTTTGTCTTGTAAGTAATGCCTCCTGCTTCCTACCCTACCTCTACTCCCTACTCTCCTCCAGTTTGTACAGAACAATGCCACAGATTAGGTATGTGGTATTTTTTATTTTGCTTATTGCACTGTTCTGCAGTGGATTTTGAGACAAGAAACAACCTCTGCAGGTGGAAGGCCTTTCTTTATGGGCATCACGTTCTTCTATCTGCTTTACTGTGCTGAAAGCATGTAGGTGTTTGGATGCCCTGCTTTTTTTTTTTTTTAACTAGCAGTATTATTTATATAATATAATTTTAATGTCTTTTCAAATATATATAAGGTTCATTTAATATGTTTTTAAATCTTGGAAGTACAATTCTGCTCTATTTTTGTAAAAAAATATTTAATCCACACTCTTCTTGCATTTCTTTTTGTAAATGGAAAAAAAAATTGGAAAAAGCACTGATGTATTGCTATATATAGACTTGTGAAAAACTACTGTTTTCTCCTTGCAAAAATTTACATATTTAAAATGATATTTTTGCAAGAATTTGCAAATTCCATTCAGAGCAAAACTTTATCATTTCTAATAGCGAACATGGGGAAATTATGACATTTTTATTCCAGGTGGGAGTTTGCCATTTTCACAGAGAAATTTCCCCATGTCCGTGTGACACATCTTTTTTAGCCTGCAAAGCTGATACAAATCCATAAAAACAGAAACTAATAAAATGTGTTTCAAAATCAATATATTTAAGGCTTACTTTGTTTTTATGTTTCAGAATATTAAATAAGTCTTCACTACTACATTTTATAACAAACAAAATTATCTTACTTCATCATCACTGAAATAAAAAGAAAAATGTTGAACTTATTCGGGAAAGTGGAATTAAGATTTTTTTTTTTATTCTTTATACACACTTTACAATAAATATGTATTCCATTGACTAATTTTTATTGGCCTGTTATCCTATTAACTAATTTTTACTGGCCAAAAACGTTTTTCCTGTCATTACCCTTCTCAATTAAAGTTAAAATAGAAATTAGAAAATGAAGTGTAATTTGTATGAAACAAATGGACTATTTGACTAATATTTAAGTGAAAGTTTATAAACAAATATTTTTAGTAGGTCCTTCAGCTGATTGATTTAGAATCTTATTTTGATTCTTCCAATTTTATCACCATGAAAACATAAAAGTATGCAGAACAGGTATATCATAAATATGTAACATTAATATACTGCTTTTACGAAATTTTTCCAAGTGTAAAGTTTAATTGACATCCCATGTCATTAATGTTAGGTTGACTGACTTTTGTTTCTAATGTTTATTGTTCACTAATGAAGAGGAAACTCCAAGTACCACTACTATGGGATTCGTGTCAAGCCAGATTCCCCTCTTAATCGTCTGCAAGAAGACATGCAGTATATGGCTATGAGACAACAACCCATGCAACAGAAACAAAGGTAGACTTTGGAGTTATCGTTGATATGTCCAAGCTATGTATTTCTTAGTTGTTTGGGTCTCCTTTTTTCTGAACAAATACCTAAGTACAAAAGAATGTTCTTATTATTGGCATACTTTCACTATGGATAGTTCTTAAATATGATTTAGAATTTCAATAATCCTGCCTGTTTTCCAAATTTTTAAAAATTACTTATCAGTCAGCGTATTTGACCCCTTTTAAGTTAAGTGTGACATTCCAAACTGTTGAGACAGGGAAATGAAACACAAAACATATGGAGCATACCCAAGCAAATACCACATGGAGAAATTTGTTTCAGTATTCATGAGCTTCTGACTTGCTATTCTGCACATCCCTCAGTCATTCTTTTTGACACAGTATGAATTCTTGCAGAATGTTTGGGACATCTTACATTTGCTTTGAATCCAACTTTCATAGATATAGAATTGCTGATATTAGAGTTCTAAGAGATCTCAAGCATTCCTGAATGAATGGATGGATGATGGATGATGGGTGGACATATGGATGGTTGGATGGATGGATGGATGAATAGAATCATAGATCTTAGAATTGAAAGATATGTCAGTCTAGTCTGGCCTTACAACCTTGTGGCCATCAAAGCATTAAGAGCCTCTGTTTTTCAGATGAGTTCCAGAGACATTAAATGCTTTGCACAAGCCTGTAATAAAGTTGCATAGCCAGGGGCCTTCTAGTCCCATGTGACTTACGTCACAATTTAGAGTAAATTAAAAAAAAAAATCCTTTCCTCTTTGCCAGCATAGCTCAACCATGACGGCAATTATAATTTTTCTTTTCAAGTGAGCATGCAGAATCAGATAGAGAAAGGAGGCCTCTGCATAGGTCCCAATGTATTGATCTGTAGTGATTAGTTGCCTTGGCCAATCTCCCCATTCATGCTAGTTCAGTCAGGAGCATTAACTCTAAGATAATGTCAGAGAAAAGAATATATCACACAGTAATTGTATACTATTTAGTCAGCCAATATTGATTGAGTCTGTACTGTGTGTTAGGCCCTGCATGCAGAGATAAGACACAGTTCCTATGTGTGAAGAGTTTAGAAATTAGAAGGGGAGGCACATGGGGAATTGAAAAAAAATGGAATGCAGTCTAGGAAGTGCTAAAATAAAACTTTGATCAAGGAACTATCACAACACAGAGGAATTTTCAGCAAACTCTGGGAGAAGGGGAGATTGGGAAGTTTCTAGAAAAAAATGCTATTTGAGTAGGAACTTAGAGTAGTCATAAAAAAGAAAAATATTGAAGTAGATGGAAAATACACCTAGGGCTGAAGTCCATGATGTCTTTGGTAAATGGTCCATGATTTATTTAGTTAGGTTGGTATTATGGAAGAAGAATCAAGGAGTGGTTGAGTAGTTTAGTGGGAGATGAGATCTTAAAAGTAGTTTGGATCATATATTAAGGGATTTGCTTGTATATAAAGCTGATAAGTTTGTTCTTTGTGCAGAACATAGCTTTGAAGCTATGTAAGGCTTTGAAGCAAAACAATGAAACTTTGATTTTTTCTAGAGAGATGACTTTTTGATTTTGGGCAAGACATATTTAATGGAAAGAGACTGGAGGTAAGGATACTTGTTAAGTGGTTCTATAACACAGTCATAATTTCTAGTGTAAGTGTTCCAGACTGAAGACTCAGTTCAAGATTGGCTATTATATAAAAGGTATCTTAAAGATTTTAGATTTTTTTAATACAGATTCTCAATCTTATTTTTTTAATTGCTGATTCTTATTTTTTGATGTATAGCCAGTGAGAAATAAGAGGGGCTCTGAAAAAAAAATAAAATAAATTATAGAATAGTACCTTATAGAGTTGGAGATAGCGTTTGTGTGAATTGCAGTAAATTGTTACTGTTTTGAGTTATGATTGTTTTTTGTATCTGTTAATGGCAGCACTGATAGCCTTTACTTTCTGGTGTGATTTCTACACTAATGCATAGCAGCACTGCATAGTGGAGATGATGATGATATCAAGAAGAAGAAGGTTTGCTTCATAAATAACATATACTCAAACTTAAATATGAACAAAAACTTAATAAATTGTACCGAAGACAGTTGAAGCCTATGATTTGACTGCAAGGAGTTTCCTGTGATTTAACTGCAAGGAATTCTAGCAACCTTTCATAGAATTAGAAGCCTTCAAGGAACATTCTTTATAAAAAACCTGAGTTACATAAGCAAGGCCCAGGACTTTCTGTGGTCTTCTCACGAAACATATTCTATAAAGATTAGTAAGCCATAAAAACCCCAGCATTCTCAGTACAGTGGTACTTGAGTTTGGAAACAGATAAAAGATGGAAGTATTTAAGAAATGATACAAAAATCTCAGTAGTATTAATAAATTAGGTTTAATTCTTATTTCTTATGAAGTAAGAATATGAAAGAACCAAAGAAATACTGAAACTTCCTTTAATTTGTTGGTTTTTTTTTTTTAAATGATGCATGTTTAGGATTATAGACAGTTCTTGAAATGGTGTCTTGCTGATTGCAGCGTTAGTGTTGCCAATTGCATGGGCCTCTCTTTAGGGCAGCAGGGGTCTTCTGTTGTCTCTCTGAAGGAATCTGTCCACTGGCAACATTGATAAGCCTTAACTGAAACCAGTTACCCTATTGTACAGAATCATTTAGACAGGAGAGAAGGAGTTTCTTTTCATGGGTGTGGACATAGTCTAATTTAAGAGTATTTGTTGAAAACAATGGAAAAATAACTTTTTAATAATTTAATTTATGGCTTAACTTTTTGGAATGATTTCAGAATTCAAATGATTCTACTGAGTGTAGTAAAATTTATATAAAGGGATTGCCAGTCTCTTGTAAAAATACAAATGACATGTGAAATGTTTTAAGTATAAAATAACAGATATTTCAAAATATTCACATTATTTGAGTACTTCAAAGTTTATTGAATGCATCCATGTGTGCTTATCTTTTATAATGTAAATTTATGTTTTATATGTTCTTATAGTGAAGAAATGCAAGTGTATACAGTGATTATTTTGTTCTTTAAATTTAAGTTTTAGAGCTCAATTTTTACATTATTCTCATGAATTTGGAATTATACTCAAGTGATAATAATGAGTATTGTTTTTATGTAGCTCACAATTTCTTGAGCTTTTTTATATAAAGTGTCACTTGAAGGTTTGATAAGGTGGTAGAGGAAATCTCCATTTATCTATGAACCCGATTCCCAGCAATACCACTGTATGGAACATAGTCATGAGTCTGAACATAAATGTAAACAACTTCTGATTGGAAAGCAGTTGTCACAGAGCCTACAGTTTCACTTAGTTGAAAAGATAAAGCCATTCTCAAACCATTTTACCTAAAATAAAGGAGATTAGAGCCCCCTTGATTCACAGGCAGTTATGAACTATGACAGCTGGCAAGAAGAAATAAAAGTAGACAGCGTCTTCTATTTACTTTAAAGTTACTCAATACAGCAGTTTGTGGACACTCAATGGAGGGGCACATGGACCTACGTACTCCAGTAAATCCTTCAAATATCACTCTAGTGACTAAAATGTAGTCTAACACAATGTAGTAACTGCTTTGCATGTTTATGGCATTATAGGCAATCAAGGAGAGGTAAAATATCATGGTTAAGGAGACGGAAAACCTTCTATTGAAAATACTTCATATGAAAATAATGTTTTTGCACTGATATGAGGTAGTCTTCAGTTTTTGACAAAATTCACTCGTGGACTAATTTGTTTACCCTAATTTGGATAATAAATAAGGTTATTATAGAGCAAAAAGGAGATCAGTAATTTCCATCTCTCCAAACTAAGTAAAAATGTTTGCTGCAGTTTAGTTTCAATACATAAAAGAAGTATGTAGAAGGCCGGGCGCGGTGGCTCAAGCCTGTAATCCCAACACTTTGGGAGGCCGAGGTGGGTGGATCACGAGGTCAAGAGATCGAGACCATCCTGGTCAACAAGGTGAAACCTCGTCTCTACTAAAAATACAAAAATTAGCTGGGCATGATGGTGCATGCCTGTAGTCCCAGCTACTCGGGAGGCTGAGGCCGGAGAATTGCTTGAACCCAGGAGGCGGAGGTTGCGGTGAGCCGAGATCGTGCCATTGCACTCCAGCCTGGGCAACAACAGCAAAACTCCGTCTCAAAAAAAAAAAAAAAAAGAAGTATGTAGAAAGTGTTGGCACGTGGATTTTAGGTATTTTTCCAGATTCCAGTAGTAAAAGCCAAATGCTTTTGATAATGTGCTTGGCTGTGTTTAATCCCAGTAGCCATTCTCAAAATATTAAATAACCATTTACCATTTCTTCAACAAATACTTATCAATTGTTATTTGCATGCAGAATCTGTCAATTACATCTAGAAGATATAACACAGAATCATAGAATGTTAGAAATGGAAGAAAGATTACCTAGTCCACCTCATCTTCTTGATGAGAAACCTGAAGTGCATAAGGTTAAATAACTTATTCACAGTCATATAGCAACCAGGATTAGAACTCTTGTCTTTATTCTCAGGAGAATTCCACCCTCAAAGAGGTAAGATAACCCAAGCAGAGACACAGACAAACAAACACACACACACACACACACACACACACACACACACACACACACCCCCCAAATATTTGCATCTGAAATAAAGGGAGAAATCACATTTTAATGATTGTGTTTCAAGTAACTGAGGAAATGTGCCACCTCCTGCCTCTTTGCGTGGTCTCTTCACAGCAATTAAATTATTTGAAAGAATGAACCTTTCTTTCACAGAATGTGAAATAAGAATATTACTAAGAAGAATTCTGTAAACCTTTCTTTCACAGAATGTGAAATAAGAATATCACTAAGAAGAGGTCATTTGGAAACGTGGTACAGCAAAGCTACTTTTGCTTTGGCTATAGATAGATGTAAAAGCATGCGCGTTCTTTTAGGAGTGAGAAAGGAATTTTAAGAACTTTTATCATTAGATGGCCTTTCTTAATATAGAGTTCATAG